CCCGCCCCGGCGATGACAACGGCAGCTCTCGGTCTTCCTGCTCCCACCATCTGGTTGCGGACTGCTCTGCCAGGCAGCCGATCCAAGCTGAAATTTTCCATGCCTGTGGTCAGGTTGTGTTTCAGAAGGGCTTTCCGTGTGAGGTGGAGAGCGGCAGGGCGGTCAGGCATGGTTAACTGGCGAAAAAGGTTGTCTTAAGGGAATAAAGCGCCTGGGATAGCTCGTGATCAAGGAGTATTCGGTCAGCATGATTTCAGCAGAGGAAAACTTGCTCAGCCCCCCCAGGAAGCATTGCTGGGCGGTACGACGCTGAGGGTACACGGATATTTCTCCAAGCAAGTGCCTTTTGCGTCACTAGAGGGTGACGCCTTCCTACGGCACTGGCTGTGCCCGTGCTACTGCGGTTGTGTTATCGCCGGTGACAGCTGGGCTGGGGTTGGACCTGGTGAGAGCGATCCAAAGGAGCTGGAAGTGCTGCGAAGGATTACTGGATTTCAGCTGTCTCAGCTCCTTGGTTCAACCGCCGGTGCAGCCCCTGAGCTCTCGACTGGTGCCCCAGGAACACGTGGTTGGGGACCCCTTTGGTGGCAGCTCAGGTGGCTTCAGCCACCCACGGAGCTGGACCTTACGTTCCTGCCCAAATCTCCTTGTGTGCCGGAAGCAATGAGGAGAGGGGGTGCACGAGAGGATCGAGTTCCCTGTTCTGGTGTGAGGTGACCGAGGGGAGAGCTGTGGCTCCGTGCCAGCCCTGTGTTCACCCGTGAGCTGGAGGAAGGCGAATGATGGGTGGTAGAAAGGGACAAGTCCTGCTTCCTGCTTCCTTTTTCTATACTTCGGGCTGATGAGGAGGATAGCGAGGTCCCCTCCACGTGAGGAGGTCGATTCAGCGTGGATGAGGGTGAATTTATGCAGGTGGGAGCCCTTAGCGTTGGACGGTGGGCTCTGAGTTGACCATTACCACTCGGGAGTGACATTTGGGGTGATGACTGGTGGGTCCGTGGAAACATCAGCTTTAGTGCTCAGTAGCCATCAGAAAATCAAATGAGACATTAGGAAGGGAGCAGACAAGAAAATGAAGAACATTTTGCTGCTGTGAAGTCGCTGATGCGCCAGCACCCAAACGCAGGTCCCTTCATCCCGAGAAGCGTTCAGTCGAGCTGGAACAGGCTCTGCAAAGGCCCTGGGGACACCAGAGGTCTGGATCACCTTCCAGCCGAGCTGGACTCCTCTGTCTGAAAATGAGGTGCCCAAGAGGGGACAGGGTAGAGGTAAAACTACAGGTGACATGGGGAGAGACTTCACTCTCTTCAACTAGAAGAGCTGGGGTGTTACATGAAGCCTGTAAAAGGCAGGTTTAGGTGGAACAGGTGACTGCTGGGGAAACTCCCTGCCACAGGGGGCCGGGGAAGCAGAAGGTTTATGCTGGTTCAAGAGGAGGTGAGGCACTTCTGGAAAAGAAATGCCTTTTGACTTAGAGATGGAGAAAAGCGATTCCCCTTCACCGAGCTGCAGGTATTCGGAGCCAGGGGGAAGCACTGCACGCTTTTGTTCAGGTTTTATGCTCTTGCCCAGGCACTGGCTTTCTTCACTCCTGGGTGGCAGGAACGTGAGCTGGACGGGCCTGCTCGAGCGCTCACCTTCCACTGCTGCCCCTCCAGCCGCTTTCCCCTACACCTCTGCTTCTTCATGGCAAACGCCTGATCACAGAGGAGGTCCCTGTCCTCCAGGCAGCAGCTCCAGAGCATAGAGGGTAGAGGAAGACTCCTCCTTGGAATAGCCGAGGAGGAGAGGAGCAGGGTCCCGGCCCTTCGCTCCATCCAAAGCTGCGTCCAGCGCCCGAGGTTTGGGATAACTACTCCATCCTCGGCTGTTCCCTTCGTGAGCGGCTCAGGCTGCGGCGCTCAAGCCCAGCACATGCAACACCCCTTTGGGGCTGGTGTCCAGCCTGCAGCG